ACACACACACACACACACACACACACACACACACACACACACAGTTTTATGTTTGTCTGTTTTCCTCTTGTTGTCTGTCCTCCCTCTGATCTTTTTCTAAGTATTTTTGCTCGCCCAACTGAGCACCCTTAAGTAGTGCCAAACAGTCCGCGGTTCCACGTCTGGAGTGCCTACTGCACTCTTAGGGGGGCCGCTCAGTTCGGGGTGTTTGTGTTGCCTGTGGGTGATGACGGATGCTCGTCGGACTGTCTCCCTGGCTCAGTGGGTGGTGGGAACCAACAGTCTGTGGGGTTCAATCGTAATGTGAGTAGGTCATGTGCCACTTTGCTCCGTGTTGGATGTGTGGACGGCCTCGCCTGCGCTCCACCGCTGCCCTGCTGCCTGTCCCGCTTGCTTCACATGTGGTTCTTTGCAGGTTGATGTGTTCGCTGTGTGGTGTGGCCGTGTTGTTGGTGTAGCATTGCGCTTCGCTGCTCCACTGCTTTGCTGCCCTTCCGCTCACCGTGCCTTCCGTGTTTGCTGCTTGTGGGCCTTATTGGATGGTTGCCTTGTTCTGGGTGCCTTGTCGTTCGCTCCACGGTTGCCGAGTTGCTCGACTGCTCGCCCTGTCGTTCCTTGCAGTGTGGTTGCTTTGATTGTGTTGCCTTGTGCTTCACTACACGGTTGCCGCGTTGCATGTCCTGCGTGCCTTGTCGTTCCTTGCAGTCGTTTTTGGCATTGTGCAGCTGTGTTGCCTCTACTGTGTTGCCTGGTGCTCCACAGGGTTGCTGCCCACTGCTATGTTCCGCTTGGGTACAATCTGCCTTCAACAAGGGTCAAGGGTTCATGACTCAAACCATCAAATACAGAGATTCCACAGATTGTCGATGGTTCAGCCTCCTGATGAGTCGGTGCAACTCTGACGAAACAATCTTTCATCATCAACTTTTTTTTTTTTTTTTTGTCTGTGCTCAGTGTGCGGTTTGTCTGCCCACCCTCCTTCCCTCTACCCTCCAGCCTGTCCTTTGCTGTTTTCTTTTCTTCTGGTTGCTTTGCTGTTTTTCGATACTTGTACCCTCCCGCGTCCCCCATGTGCTTCAGCATACGTTCTGCCTCACTGTTTGTTCCTCCTCTCGTGTCTCTAAGTTCATGTGCCATGTTGTGGTTTGCCATCCTACGGTGTTGGTTCCCTGCCTTTTGCCTCGTTGTCCTTTGCCTTCCCCCCATCCCTCCATTTGTTTGTGTGGTGTTATTGCATGTGTTCTGGTGCGTTTGAAAATGGTGTCTGAATTTAAGTAATTGTCTTAATTCTGCTCCTCCACCTTCGACAAAAAGAAGATGCACCCCACCCTCTTCATTTCGTCTTGCTGCTTTCGCACAATTGGCTGCTTTCAACTTTACGGCCCTTTAAGTACCCTCGCCACAAATGAACACACTATATGGTTTTACCTTGCCACATTGAAGAATCACCTCCACGACTTGCACCTTGCTCACAATGTGTCGGCGTTGGTACCTTCTTCCCCCGAATACAACGTGCGGTCATTATAGCTGTATTTGATGCATCTTTCAGAAGTTTCAGTCAACATATAGCTAGAATGGCCGTACGTTGTACTCGGGGGAAGAAGGTAGTTTGAGCAGCGCAAGTATGACGTGTCGTACTTATGTAAGACTCATGCCACACACATGCACACACGCGCACACACACACACGCACACATCGTTGTCAGTCCATAGAGAAGGAATCAATGGCGAGGAAACCCAAAACACTTGCTCAATGCCGTTCTGTGATGATCCACTTGAGATTCGGCTAGCATGTGGGATGCATGCATTGTATCATGAGGATTACGAAGGCGCAGCCCGTGCGTCTTTCTGTTTTCATACATATGATGAGAGTCAATATTGCACTCACGCCCGACACCCTGACATGTCATGTCCAATTTGTAGACAGGGCTCAAACGGCAATGCCTCTACAATTGCGGTCGGCGTGCCTCTGTGTTCCTTGCCTGTGGGAGCCATGTTCTCTGCGATATTTGTCTACGTCATGCCATTCGGTCCAGCAATTGCAACTGCGAGAATTGGATGTGATGCTTCCACAGTCCGCACCCGAATCGGTGTTGTCCGGTCTGCAGGAGTGGTCACCTACCATAAGCAACAGCTACTCCTCATCCTCCAACCCAAACACTGATTGACTTCTCGTGTTATTCTACAGTCGTCTGCTCCAACGGTGTGTATAGAGAATCTATTGAACACTCTCTCTCTCTCTCTCTCTCTCTCTCTCTCTCTCTCTCTCTCTCTCTCTCTCTCTCTCTCTCTCTC